CTTATATTGGAGATATTCTACCGTAGGTAAATGATTTCCGTTTTATAATCTTTAGTTTTGTAATATAATTTTAGAGTAATTATTTTTTTTAATAATAAGAACATTTATGCAATTTCTTTTTTCATTTCATTAGAAAAAAGGTCTACGAACATCAAAAATTAATTTATACACATAAAAATTAATTTATACACATAAAAATTAATTTATACACATAAAAATTAATTTTAATTAAATGATCGTATATAATATTATTTTAATGTATTAAAAACTATTTTTTCTCTAAAAAAACATTTTTTAACTCGAAATTATTTTTTATTGAAGGCTTTGAAAACATATAATGCGACGAAACGAACATTCTTTTTAAGGATTGAATTCGGGTATTGCGTTTGCCTTCAAAAGAATTATTCAATTTCATCTGGCTAATTTACACCAAAAACACGGGGAAATGGCACATATATTAAGCACAGACGGAAAAACACCAAAATACAAGTTTTCTCAGACTGGCAATGGACCAGCTGAGGCTTCCCGCTGTTCAAGCCGTTGGCTATTCGTCGTACACAGCTTGCCCATACTATCTTTCAATGCCTGTTCGAAACATAATGGATGGGGAAACAATTGGATATTTGGAATGGTGGTGGGTGGATAAGCAAAGCGGAAGCGTGGCACGCTCATGTTAAAATGAATATTTTTTAAAATAAGCAATAGATAGGGGAAATTGAGGTCTAAATTTATTCGTTTATTTTGTATTGTTGAGTATAAATTGAATATGGCTTGGTATGGCATTCGATATTTCTTCTCTCTTCCGCTTCCTAGCCCACCACGTGTGTGTGCCCGCTATGCACCCTTTGGTGCGCCGGAAAAACCTCCCGCCTCCTCCTCTGATTTCAATGGCCAAAAGTATGGTGAGTTACATCCCGCCGCATTGTTTCTTTAATGGTGTGGGTGTTTGCATGTGAAATTGATTCCTTGGAATAGGAAACACCTCCGTGATGTTCTCATTTCTTTACTTTCTCTGTCTGGTGTCGGGCGGATTTTTTGGGCCACAATGTCGTTGGGTTTACCGTAGGTATGCCTTTTGATCCAACCTACCCCGGGACGAATGTCTTGGAGTCTCTTTCACTATTTGACTACATAGGGGGATGGGGTTACAAATTGCCGGTTGGGCAGGGGGGGGGGCGCCCCCCAGCAGGTGTATTTTCCGGGCATGACGTAGGTACCCTTCACAAGGGCAATGGAGGACTAACATTTTATGTTCAAGCAAATAACATTAATTAAGCCTTTCTAAGGATATATTTTTGCAGAAGGACTTATTTGAACGAGTGGTTAATTTTTAAAAGTTCTGGATATTTGCCGAATTCTTTCCCACCATTAGCTATTATCTTTCTCCAATATCCGTTGAAGGAATTGATGGGACATTGCTAAAGCAGTATTTAAGGTAAATTCCGAGCGGGGTATTTGGAAAATTTTTGGTTGTCGAATAGTTGACGCATGTTGAAATAAAAAATGCTTTCAAAAGTGACCTCCCTTTTAGGCGAGTTTTTTCTCGGGACATGTTTGTCTGTATTTTAGAGGTGGGTAGGGGTTATTTTGGGTAAAATGCTTATGGGCTATTTAACTATAGTACCTTAAAGGATGATAAAGGCTATCGTCTACTGTCTTGCTGGTTTCAGTGTTGGCTTATGAATTGTTCAAAAGCTGGGGTTGGGGTTGTGTGGGTCTTCGGCGTGGGTCATCATTATTTGTAGGGATTTGGGTGTGGAGTGCGTCTGGATGACGTCACTCAACTGCATTTATACAGTTTCTTATTAAGAAGGCACTTGTGTGAAAGCTAAAAAGTGACGAAGAAAAACATATAGGAGATTGAAATCTTAAAAGCGCTGAGCTGTGAGATTCGTATCTACTTGGCAGGGCTTCCATAAACAAATACATTTTTTCCAACAGGACAACATTAAAAAGATAACAAATACATGTTACCAGGAATGAATAGACCCGAAAAATAAAAGAGTACATGAAGCAAGGGTTACCTTATTTGGTTATTATTATTATTATTATTTTTAATTGTTCAAGTTATATTTGTCTGATATACTTTTCGTGATTTAGCTTGTTGAGTAATCCTTTTAACTATCATTTAGTGTTTATGATGGTATTTATGGAAGTGGATTTTTCTCTTTATGTATTATTATTTTTGCTTGATAATAATATTATCCTATTCAGTACTAGATATTCAGCTTTTTTTTTTACTGCACGTCTGTGTGACTTTTTAATATCTGAACCATGAGCACGGTATTGTAATATGAGATGTACCTTATCTTTTTTCTTATAGTAGCAAGATGTCCTGTTTTTAATATAATACTGTATCTTTTCGACACCTTTTTTTTTTAAAAATTACATTCAGCATCTTCTCTAAAAGTGATTTGTATATACTTCTTTGATGTCAGAACATTTTCTACACATCACAATCAAACGAAACATTCTATCGAATTATTTATATATCAATATAAGTGACTGATTACGGTATCAAAGCTACATAGGCAATAATTCAAGAGAATACTTTCTTGGAATTTAAATAGTGCACCTCTCCTCACTAGTTATTTATTTCCTGTTGAGACATAAGCAAACTTTTATATTTCGATTTGGAATTGCTTAATTATTAAAAATATTTTTATTGTCTTTTACTGTAAACACATCAATTCATCTTTTTTCCACGGGTGAGAGGTAAGAATCCTTTTCAAGAGCATAATATATTCTGAACAACGCAGATCTATAATAAAACTGTTCTCATATTCTCTGTTGGGTTACATCGCAACAGTGCTGCATGTACTTGCTGAAGGTTATGTTCTACATTAATGGCTGTTCCATGCATATTTTAGCTTCTATATTGAATTAGCTCTTTTTTTTGCGGCCCCAATATTCGCATAACTTATATTTAATAAATAATGGAATAAAAGAGGCTATTCCATTATTTCATTCCTTTTTGACTTTATTTTTCCACTTAATTCTAAACTAATTAGCATTTTAAAAAATTAATTTACCTTTTTAAATATGCTTTCTTTTTTAAACAGCGTAAAAAAGGAACGCCATTGACCCTTCCTTTTTTATTTGAATTTTCTAGTCTAAAGCCTTGTGAGTAGGAGCTATGCGTCTTTAGGTAACTTAAATACTATCGTAAGGAAAAGGATTAAACGCAATTAAATAAGCAATGCAGTTTTTTTTTGAGGAGGAGTTCTTATAACGTTGTGAATCAATTATATAAGTCAAACCACGATTTTTAAAATGCACAAAAAATTCTCCGCAATGTAAAACTTTTTTTTAAATTGCTATAACCTTTGGAGTACGATAATAAATTTGTGTTCATTGTAGTGTCTTACTAAAGTGTAGCTCTTAGTTTAGTGTACCTCAAATCTTGATATGATCTATAAAGTCCTTTTTTGTGCAAGTAAATAGTATTTTTAAATATATTTTAGTCAAATAAAAATATGCATATTAACTTATTGACATATTTTGCGAAGCTTATCCTTGTATAATATTTGTGATATGCAATGGGCTTTTTTTTGCAATTAGACATACACGCCAAACTACATGAAGAATTGTCATATGTTTTGCTTATACGGCACCAATCTTACCTCTTTTAATATACCTACTTGGTTATATATACAATTTTGAAGCCATTTGTGTATTTTTTTTTGATTGGCATGCATTACCAGAATGGTATTGTGCTGAAGTTCTTATCCTAAATAGTATCTGCTGCTATCGTTTTTTTAATTTACCGCGCATGTGATTTCCTCCTCATTGCTCAAATTAATCATGGTTTACCTTGATTTTTCTTTTATAATTCAAATAAAAATAGTAGAGGCAAATTTTTAGGCAATGGTGCATACTAGGCGTTTTAGCAGAACATCCAGAAGTGGTACATGGATTTCTTTAGGAGCTAATAATCTAGTGCGACTTTTGGACATAAAATGCGAAAATATTGACATCATTGGCTCTTTGAATACGTGCATGGTGGCATACAATAAATGTGGAGGCCTTATTGCTATCTTTCATAAGGATATATCAATACCAAAGGAAAGAAAAATTTATCTCTACAATAGTATGCTACGCCTTCACCCTATTTCACCTTCTATTACAGTGACACACGATGTTGTGTTTATGTGCTGGAATGACTCTAGTAGTCATCTAATAGTTATCATGAATAACAAATCCATACATTTTTTTGATTACCAAGGAGGGATCGCGTCACCAGCTATTTTTATCGAGACGTTACCACAATTATTTGCTTCAACGGAATCTGGACTTGTTGGCCTTACATATTTTATAGAGGATTACCGAGTTAGCTTGTTGTTCCTTCTTTATTCTGAACGTGATGGTTATGTACTAAAAACAGTGGATTTACCTCTGGGTGTTCAAAGGATTCTTTCAGCATCTGCAATGCTTGTTGTTCCGTCCCAACAAAGTGATACAGGATTTCCGGAGGTTTATTTGCCAGCAATGTCTACACCTTCTTTCTCAGATGTTTACCATTGTGTACTTGGTCCAGTGCCGAAGTGTAGCAGCTTGAATATATCCTTTTCAGGAGGGAGTATTAGACAGTTTGCTCTTTCTCCTGACGGAAATTGCGTATCGCTCCTACTAGAGGATGGATCAATTTATTATACCAACAGGAGCTTTGAGGATACCATTAAAATAGGGTGTATTGAGAACAATTGTATGTCTCAGTTGTCGTGGTGTGGCAATGGATGTGTCGCATGCTTAACTGTAGGTAGTGCTGGAGATAATGGCATGGAGGCATCCGCAACTTTATTTCTCATAAATCCTGACGATTCTGAGGTGTCAGACTGCATTTACGACTTACCGCCTGATACTCTTCTCCTACAAGAGTGCGATGGCCTTCGCTTAGTTGGTACTGCGCTTTATCAATTTTTACAGGTAGTATCTTCTGAGGTGCGCCAAGTTTTTTCAGTAGGTTCACGTGCCTACGGCGCGGTTTTACTATCTACATACGACGAATATGTTTCCGGAAATGCAGTGGCTGTTACCATGATCCAAGAACTTCAGCAAAATGTGGATGGACTAGTCGAAGCAATCAATGATTGTGTTGCCGCATCGAATCATGAATTAGACGTTTCTCAGCAAAAACGTTTGCTTCGTATCGCAGCTTTCGGTAAATCGTTTTGTCCCGTTTATGGTTCCGATTTTTTCGTGAGCACAGCACAAAAGCTTAGGGTTAGAAATACTCTAAGAAATTGTTCATTGGGAATGCTCTTGACACATGAGCAACTCTGTTCTCTCGGTGAAGAAAGGCTTATAGGTAGACTTGTTTGTTGTAATGAATTCCAAGTAGCTTACTCGATTTGTGACACCTTGGGTATCCAGTGCGATGACGTTCTAATTAAATGGGCCCTGGCTAAGCTCACGAGGAGTAAAAAAACTTTAACTGAAGAAAAGGAAGTTGCCCATTTAATTGTTCAGAAACTGAAGAAATTCAATCGACCCTTGTTTTCTGAGTTGGCGAGACTTGTAAATATGCACGGTAATAGGGTTGCGGCTCTTGTCTTTCTGAGGGCTGAAGCAAATCCTTCGCGGAGGGTGCTGATGTTTCTTAGTATTGGCGAATCAGAATTAGCATTAGAGAGCGCTATAGCTACAAGCGACACCGATCTGATCTTCACAGTAGTGTCGCATTTGATTGAAAGTAGAGGTGCCCAATCTCTACCACTTCTAGAAACTTACGAGGAATCTAGAGCTTTACTTTTCCAATACGCATTTGCTAGTGAAGTTAACCGCCAAGCTATGGATGCGTTCTTCCAAAGGAATCCTCGATACCAGACTATCATCGGTTTGCATAGATATTTCCAAGAAGAAAACCGATTAAGATCCTCACTTGGAAATTCGCGACTCCGTGCTGAGGTTCAATGGGAAATGCTTCAAGAATGTAAGAGTACAGCTATCCAACAAACCATCGTTCTTGCATCAAAAGAAGCTAATCAACCTGCTCCTGCCAACACTCACGGCTTGAATAAGCTATTTTCACCACTCTTGAGTTCGGGTGAAGTTACTTCTCCTTCAGACTCTGGTGTGAGGTCTCTCCGTACTCATTTATTGGTTATCGAAGAGCAAACTTCTCTCATGAAGGAGTTTAATGATGATCGCTTCCTGACTGCTAGTATAGTTGATATGATTTGTTTAGTTCTTGAGCACGGACGGCAATCAATTGCAGATAGGTTAAAGATCAAATTTAACGTCTCTGATAAGGCGTTTCAGTGGTGTATGCTGAATGCTTTTTCAAGAGCAGGGCAATGGTCATTGATTGACGAACTTGGAAGTAGGCCTCAAACTCAGCATTTGATTAGTGCGGAGCACTTTGTGAATGTTTTATTATCCTATAACCGTCCACAACAAGCGAAACAGTACATTCCTCGCGTACCACTAATCGAGCGAAGGATGGAGTATTATGTCCTTTGTGAGGACTGGTTAGCTGCAGCCACTGATTGTCACCACAACGGCGATACTAATCTGCTGTCTCAGCTTAAGGAACGTGCCAAAGGAAATCAGAAGATATTGGAGCAAATTGATCAAGGGTGGAACCAGCAACAAAGATCATCGGGCCTTAATCTTAGTAGGCTTTTCATTTGATTAGTCCCTGTCGTTAGCCCAGTTCATTCTTTATATGTTAGCCAACTTATCAGTCCCATTGTGCATATTGATTTACATAAGAAGAATGAGCATGCCACTATAATTTTTTTCTCTTTATACTTTTATTTTTCATGTCATTGAATTCAACGCAACGTTTTATCGACTAATTGAACAGAAAAACACTCTAGGTAGTGTGCTTTTTTTTACAAACGTTTTAAGGATCCTCCCCACTTGGATTGTACATTCCTGGCGATCGAAAATAATTTGTGGCTAGTAAATTGGCAGAAGATGGTGACTAAAGAAGAAGCAAGTAAATGGAAATTATCTGACTTAGAGCTACTTGAGACCGTCGGTACCGGCACCTTTGGCCGTGTTCGGATATGTCGCTACAAAGAATCCTCGAAATTCTGCGCTTTGAAGATCATGAAAAAACAAGAAATCCTGCGAATGAAGCAGGTTGATCACACTCTTGCAGAGGCTAGTATCCTTAGTGAAATTTGTCACCCTTTTATTGTTAATATGCTTAAAGGCTATATGGATGAGGAACATCTCTATATTTTAATGGAATATATCCCTGGAGGGGAGTTGTTTTCGCATTTGCGGAAGGCAGGTAAATTTCCAAACGATGTGGCAAAGTTCTACTCCGCTGAAGTGATCTTAGCTTTTGAGTATCTACACAGCAAAGAGATCGTGTACCGGGACCTTAAACCAGAAAATCTTCTTCTTAATCATGATGGGAACATTAAAATTACCGACTTTGGCTTTGCAAAGCGCGTAGTAGATCGGACATTTACTCTTTGTGGCACACCAGAGTATTTGGCCCCCGAAATTATTCAGGGGAAGGGCCACGGAAAAGCGGTGGATTGGTGGGCGCTTGGGATTTTACTATATGAAATGCTTGTAGGCTATCCACCTTTCTTTGATGAGCACCCGTATAGAATCTATGAGAGAATATTGGAGGGTAAAGTGTTGTTTCCACACTGGGTGGACGCAAAGGCGAAAGATTTAATTAGGGGGCTTCTTACGCCAGATTGCAGCCGACGTCTTGGTTGTAGGAAGCGTGGTGTACAGGATATTAAGCATCATAACTACTATGCTGGCGTTGATTGGGATGTTGTGTTTACAAGAAAAGTGAGTGCACCAATTCCGATTCGATTTCACAGACCGGGAGATACGCGGTATTTCGATAAGTACCCCGAAAGTCCACACCAGCCTCTTCGCGCACTTACTTCGGCTCAGCAAGAGGTTTTTGCTAATTTTTGCGATGGAAATTATACACAGGAGTAATGAGGTGCTTTCTTTTGTCGCGGAGATAAAAGGGTCGGATGGCGACAATTTAGGCGTAAGGTTTTTATGGCTGAGGGCTGTAACCTAATATACACGTGAAGCGAGACTATTGTAAGATGAGTTGAGGGAAAAAAATGGCGGGAACGTACTGTGGGTGTACTTCACTTTTTATCATGTATACATACACGATTCCTAACACAGAAATATGTACAGCACAGGTTTGGTAGCAGTAACGAAATACAAACTGCCATATATGAGCACAACAACTGACTTATCGTTTTATCGGCTCGGGGCAAAAGTATATTTAATTTTTTTGCGGATATAAGACCCAATTTTTGTTTCAAGTTATTGTCTTTGGTGTCCTATGTTCGTTTCACCTTTATCTGTATTATCTTCCTTCTAAATCATTTTTCACACTAAGTTATATTAGTCAACTGAAAAAAGAAAGGCTATCGCTATTTTTGATTCGTGAGCTCAATGGGATATTTTTTATTCTCTGTTTAAGCCTCACAACCTTAATCTATGTGAACATGAAAAAACGGCATTGTGAACAAATCTCTAACGAAAATGAGGAGTTCTAAAAAAATGCAACCCTTTCGTTCTTCAGAATAATGAATAGATCATTGCGTACTGTTTGCGTGTTGTGTTTTATTGACAACCAGAGGCATGCATACACTAGAGGTAGCATGAGTAAGGAGGTGGTTTTTATCTGATGCAAGCGAATCATAAGAAACATCTGGTTTATTTTCGCGAGGAAATGATAAAAAACAAAAATAATGAGTCTTAGAAAATACATTGAGCACATTATTAAACATTGCCCATTTATTCCAATTTTAATTACTTGTAGTTTTCTGTCCGTTGAATTGGAGTTTTTTTGTTACTTTTGAGCTTTTGGGTTTCAAGCACTACTTTAAAGTTTACTTAAACGCCGGTACGTGTTGCGTGATCATCCTTTTTATGATAAAGGTGAAGTTGCAGGGTACATCTGTGTTTACACGAGTACTGTCCGAGTCGAATGACAGAAATGTTAACACAGCTGCACAAGTTACCCGTGATGTATGCATCGACCATAGAAAGAATCATTATGATGTGCTTCATGACAGATGACGCTCAAAAGTTAGGTCTGTACGCCTTCGATGCAGCTTCAGAATTTTCTTTCAAGTCCGAGCACGATGAAATGACTCTTAGTGTTCTGAAAAATAGGGCAAGAAAAGGCATGAGTTGGCATGAATTCTTTGAGACAGTAACTCTATCATTTAGCAAAAATTGCGTTTCCGCGCAAAAAATTACTCGCAGTAATAAAGACACTCCGAGTGAGGAATCAGTTGACAAGCGTCGCACCGTTTTCTCCGTTGACGAATTACACCTTTCTTGTTATAGTATCGAATTTATATTAGTTCGAACCACAGAAGACATGCAAGCATACATCTTGGAGCGGATGATTAGAACACAACGACTGATTTCTCATCCAAAGGAATACCAGAGGATCTTGCTTCAAGTCATGGGTGACGAGACTATTATGCGGGGTAAATGTGAAAAGCTTAATGTTGAGCTCCAATCGCTGCAGAAGTTGTTTCTTCGTACCTTACAACAAGTGGAGGCCAAAAAAACGCGCCTGTTGGAATTAAGAAAAATTATTAATCTTGAAACGAAGAAGCAAGAGAATAATCCATGGGTCACAGTCAGAGAAAAACAGCGGCGGGAAAATCCTGGGAATGCTGCAAGGGTACCCAATCCACTTATAGATCACACCTGTAAAGACTTTGATAAAGACTTACTGCGTTTAATCAAGAGTCGTTGGATTAAGGAGGAGCAATGCGATCTCGCATCCCCTGCTAATCGTGTAGTGCAGCCTTACTCTTCTGAGGAACTCGCAGATAGAATCAAAAACTTTAGTAATGCTCAACATCAGTCTATATGGGAAGCGCTCGATAAAATAGACGATTGGGACTATAGCGTATTCGACATACAAATTGCCATGACTGGCGATCACTGTGGTTCTCTTTCTAATCAACCAAATGGGGGGTCCCTTTTTGTGACATTGTATGCTCTTTTATGTAAGTACAACTTTATGCAAGAATTCGGAATGGATGAGCAGATTGTGCTCAACTGGATTAGCGTCGTAGAGGGTGGATATCACGCTAATCCATATCATAATTCAATGCATGCTGCTGATGTGGTACAAATCACTCATTACATTATTAGTAGGGGTGGGCTTGCATATAAGTGTGAGCTTACAAGGCTGCAAATGTTCTCTGCCGTTTTTGCAGCTGCAATCCATGATTTTGACCATCCTGGTATAAACAATCAGTTTCATATCAGAACACGGAGCTACTTGGCCACACTGTATAATGACCGTAGCGTTTTGGAGAATTTGCATGTTAGCAATGTTTTTGAGTTAATGAGAAATCCCGAGTTCAATATCCTAGCAAGCTTTCATGAGGAACAACGAAGGGAGGTTCGCGAGACGGTGATAGAGATGGTGTTGGCTACCGATATGAGCATGCATGAAAAGTATCTTGCACAGCTTAAAAAGAAACTCCAGGAACGTGCCGTGTTTACGAATCATGAAAACCAGATTTTAGCTTTAGCATTAGCACTAAAGATGGCTGATGTTTCCAACTGCGGGCGCCCATTAGACATATACTTACAATGGAGCGCAAAAATATCAGATGAGTTTTATCAACAAGGTGACCGTGAGAGGCAGTTGGGGATGTACTGCAGTCCCTTCATGGATCGTCTTCAGCCTAGCATGGGAAAAGGCCAGGTCGCATTTATAAACTTTATTGTGATTCCGTTTTTCGAACAATTAGCGGTACTTCTTCCAGACCTACATTTCGCTGTTGATTTTGCAGAGAAAACGAAGAAATACAGGTCGATGCATGATAACTTGGAGGGGAACGGGATTTCTATATGATGATTGTAAAAAATGGACTATAGGTGATGAAATTCTTTTTCTGCTCACTAATTACTAAATCAACGTTTCCCATTTTCGTAATTCCGTGCAAGTTATTGATCCTTAATTTACTCAATTTTTAACTTAGTATCTGTACCATAGCCGATAAAGCTTTCCTTATTTCTTAGGGTCTTGGAATAGTTTTTTCTCAAAAAATGATGGTCGTGCAATTGTTCAGTCAATTGAAGTACTGACCTAAGGGGTAAATATTTTCTCCCTTGTTGCTTAATCTGATGTAAACTATGTTTTTTTTGTACTTTAATGACAGGATGAACCCCACAGACAGATCTTCTTCAGAATTGGCATTTGCGAATTATAACAACGAAACTTCGTATTTTAACAGAGTTTCATTTTTCTGCATTTTTTCTTTCATTTCTTTATAAAATCGGCGACAAATATCAAAAGAAAAGGAGATTTCATTATCATAGAAAGAAAAAATAGGAACCAAATGGAAGGTCGTCACCTTTCCGAGTTGTGTTCTAAAGATGAAGTCGATCCAATTTATCACTATCTTCGACAGATAGCTCCAGAGACAGTAGAATGGGTAGACATTGAGGGTAATAAATGTGATGATGGTGTTATTCAATATGTAAGTGGAGTTTGGGGGTTTCGAGATGGGGATGGTCGCACAGCATTTCACTGGGCAGTTGCCCTTCGAAATTATAGTCTAGCGAACACTCTTATGAATGAACCCTACAGATCTCCCGTGCTCAGTGAAGATGAGGATGGCGTGACACCCTTTATGACAGCGTGTATGGTGGGTGCACCCGAGAAGTTTGTGAGATCGCTACTTGAAAAAAGTGTAGCAGTCTACAATTTCTTTCTAAAATGTCCTGTATTGCAGCGACGGCCGTTAAAGGAGGGAAGTAAAGCTAATGGTGATAGGGGCCAGAAAGCCGATAGAAACCTCTATAGCAGTGGGGCAAACATAGGGCATGGTGATATGACAACCGAGGACGTTCTCAGTACTTCCAATGAGGCGCCCATTTGTGAAGAGTTTGTCGCTAAATACAACATTGTAAATTCAGTGGACTCGTTGGGTAATACAGCCCTTCTTCATGTTGCTAGCCGCGGGCACAGTCATTTGGTAGATTTTTTAATAAGAAATGGAAGTGAGTTGAACCATCAGAATAAACATGGTCAGTCGGCCCTTCATCGCGCTGTTGGACGCGGCAACATGAACACTGTTGAGATTCTTTTGTGTGCTAGCAAACAGAAAATCAATAAATCTAAGGAGGAGCATCAGCGTTGGGTGAATCTTCAAGATGTTTGGGGTAATACTGCATTGTTTTACGCTTCCATGGAAAATAATGAAGATTTAGGACGTCTTTTGCTTCGGAATGGGGCGGATCGATACTTGCGCAATAAAGAGGGGAAGGAGTTTTGGGAGGTTTGAATGCTGTGTGATGCTTGTTACTATTTTTTTTATTTTTTTTTTAGTCTATATAAGGCTTACTATGGCGTCACAGTAATATTTGAAACGAGAAACATCACAGGTGAACTGTCAAAGTATGTTTGTATTCTCCCCAAATGGTGCCATAAGTCTATCTATTATTCTAATAAAATTCCCCATAAAAGTCTCTACATGATCATTAAGAATATACAAAGGGAGTGAATGAAAAGGCGTGAGGTGCGCCGTAAGCGTGAGCGTGAGAATTTGCCACCTGCGCTTAATGCATTACTAGAGTTAGTACCTCGGAACACCGACCCACGCAAATATTTAGAGCAAAACTTCTGCCCCTCTCGCGATCCAAACGATAGTACTGCGGTGGATGAGGGTACTTTTATTGAGGGTGATGGTCTAGAGCGACTCCTTGTTGCCCTTAAGGAGGGCTGCCCGGATGGTGCGAGGGACCTTCTTCATGTGACGCGACGCGTCCCACGCAGCCAGTCGACGATCAGCAAAATATTTGTTGCTGAGCTGTGTTTTGCCTTATCTCAGGTAAGTGGTCCTCTCACTACCCGTGAGCGACGCTGCAATGCCGAGGCCGAGGGGGATTGGTTGACCGAAGACACTCCCTTACTGCAATACTTTAAAGGGAAACGCTTTGATGCTATTATACGAGGCTGTAACTCCTCTACATCCTTGAATCGAGGGAGCTCTTCCCCAGAAGCCATACAGGAGATAGAGCCGGCACAGTCATTGAGAGTCGATAGGGGCCTGGATATATCTTCTGAAGGTGGGGGTGCAGAGGATACTAAAACGTCTTATACCTCTTCACTGGAATGGGAAAAGTACTTGGCCTCTATTCGAACTCCACTTCCCATGTCCTTGCGCGTGCATCAAAGTGAAAAAGTTTTGCGATGGATTGCACTGAACTTCCTCATGCATAGCGATTCGGAACTGACAACCATAGTTGCTCCCACAAAAGTGCTACCTGAATCAATTGCCATGTTTTCAAGCAGCAACTATGATTACCACACTCATCCGTACACCGAATTCGTTTGTCGAACCCTACACGCTGCTGGTGCTGTATCATTCCAGGAGGTTGTTTCCGCTATACCAGTCTTGGTTCTCGGCGTCCAGCCACATCACAGTGTTCTGGAACTGTGCGCAGCCCCAGGAAGTAAGACTCTACAGGCGCTAGATGAAACCCTAAAAAGAGGTTGGACAGTCAACATCGAGAAGAGCGTGGTTATCGCTAACGAAAAAGATCGCGTTAAGGCTACTCAAATTCTACCTGCTAGATTGAAACGTTATCATGCACCAAACGTTTTATGCACGCGGTGTGATGCTACACAATGGCCGAGGTTATACTACTACGAGAAGAATGTCTCAGAGATTAGCCCAGATGGTAATACAGGAACATCAATCCTCGTTGAAAAGCAATTCGATCGTATCATTTGCGATGTTCCATGTAGTGGGGACGGCACACTGCGAAAGGAACGCTCGGTTGCCTCTACATGGTCGCCGGATTATGTCAAGTCACTTGTTCCCACACAAAAAGCTCTGCTTCGACGTGGTTTGGACTTGCTCAGAATCTCTGGCATTCTTGTTTATAGTACATGTAGTATTAATCCAAAGGAGGATGAGGAGGTAGTCTGTTCTGCTTTGGAGCTTTTTGGGGATACAGTGGAAATGATAGATGTGAATGATGCATTGCAGCAGCAAGGTGCACATCTACTCTCTCGTGGAGGCTTGCATTCGGTAGATTTAGCAAGCTTGATGGAGACCGAGGTGCCTTCGGCATATAACGGCGCTAAAGTGTTGCGTGTATTGCCGCATCGAGATGACACAGGCGGTTTCTTCGTGGCGGCTTTTCGTAAAGTCAAACAGCAGGACCGGGCAGGAGTTCAAATTGCGCCACGGAAGTTGAATCAGTGGACACGAGGCAAACTTTGGGCTCCAGTCTCTAAAGATGACCCGATTTGGGTTAGCATTTCTGAATTTTACTCTTTTAAAAGGGATTTCTTTAATTATCATGATGATGATAGTACTGGGAATAGAGATATTACTAATACAAATAATGACACGATGGAGTTGGCAAATGAGGGAAAGGCACGCCTGGTTCCTGTTTATCATCTCAACCCTCACGGCGAACAAACACGTCGCATTGTACTCATAACGCCTGCCCTCGCTGAGATGGTATTTAATACAAGACCTTTCAAAGGACCAGGCGTCGAGGTGGTTTCTGTCGGTGTCCGGGCTTTCGAGGCCTACGATGTGAGATTCTTACCCAATGCTGAGTGCCGTTGGCGTGCCGTGCTAGAGTCAGCCTCCTACTTGGCCCCACTTTTTTCATCTCGTAAGCTTTTATTTACTGTGAGTACCCATCGATCTCTACTTGAAGAGCTTTTCAGGAATGGATTTGTATACGTTAGAGATTATTGGTGGACCTTACTAGGTGATGAAAATGTGAATGCCTCCAGCGTATCTGACGGTAGTATTTTCCCTTTGGTAAGGACAGGACCCCTTGAAGAGCTCCTCCGTATCGCCAAATCGCATCCTGCGGGTGGGTTAGACTTAATGACTTGTAGAGTAAAAGATCTACTAGCTACTGAGGTCCGTGTGGGTGGGGTTCTAGTTGGTATTCTTCGTAGTCAACAAGAATCTCTTCAGCAACCGGAACCGAGTTTCTTGAGTGCGACGCTTTCTGGAGGCAAATTGGAGCTCGCGGTGGATAATTCGCTGCGGGCTTTTTGCTTGATGGCTTTCCTGAATAATTTTGACGGCTTAAACTCACAAGTAGACTCTGGAAGTGTAGCGAACACGTAATATAATATTAAGTAATTGATACGATTAAAAAAGCTAATGCTTTAATAATTACTTTATAGCTGCTGCATACTTTTCGTAGATATGTGGACTACTCCTCTTTTCATCAACTTTTAATGCTATGAAATGAAGGGTCACTTTTAATCCTCAAAGCAGAATATTTGTCGTGGGGATTGATTACATAGTGGAAAGGAGATTTCGCAGTATTGTAACTATCTTAATTTTTTCAGATCCTTGTTAAAGATCAGTTAATACATAATACACCCAGAATGCAAGTAGGATTACATGACGATGATTTTAATTTGTGCTCTTTAGGGGATTGCACCGAGGTTGACCTTTTGTCGGCGCGCTGCACATATTGTAAGAAAATCTTTTGTTCAAGGCATATCAGTACTCGTGCACATCAGTGCTCGGAAGCATACGATGCTAAGGTAGCTGGATGCCCGGTGTGTGGGTGTGTCGTGCCGCTTGAGTATCCGGGGCAGCGGGTGGACGAGGCGGTATCCTTTCATCTTGACCGTGGTTGCAGGAACCTACCGCAATCGACTATTTCTCATGGTTTTTCTGGGAAGGGTATGTCTAATTCATTGCAAGGGGGTCGTCGCTTAGGTGGCCGACGGGCGTGCGGGGTGGTGGATTGCTCTAACCACAGCGACATCCGTGTCGAGTGCGACCGATGTGGCCACTCCTTTTGTTTAGATCATCGTAATCCCTCCCTTCACCATTGCAAGGGAAATTTACACAACGAGAGGAAGCGTGTTGTTTCTTCTACTGCTCAAACTATGAGTAAGTCTCCGGTAAAATCTGAGTCTGAAGCCACTACCATTGCAAACCTCCTCCGCATGAGGCCAAAAACTCTTCCGACCATTGCAGGTAGGTCAGTGGAGACCAACACCGACACTGTGACTACGCTTATTGTGTTTTTAATTCCTCTAGATCTATCAAATACAGGCAGCAAGGAGACAAGACCCATGCAGGTGTTAAATGTGCCACCATTTTATATGACCATCTCAAAAAATGCTGCTATGGGTAAATTACTAGACTTGGCTATCACAGAGGCTTCTAAAAATCATAGTAGCGCAACCAAACCAAACTCGAACCAGCCGTGGCATGTACACGCTCTGAGAATTCCAGCGCCAGAGGGGGCTGTTGGTGCGATGTATTCGTCTGTTCCCTTATCTACGCAAATATGCAAGACTGCATTGGTAGATTCTATATCCACATCTTCTATTCTACAGAAGGAAGAGGGAATCTCATTATCATCCAGATCATGTGCCACGACTTCCCCCCTGGTAGTGATTTCTCACTTTTCAAGTCTACCAGAGGAATTTGTCACAAATTTAAGTAAAAGAATTTTCCATGGAGGTTCTTCTGATGGTTGTTGCACAGTTTTTTGAGAATAATGGTACCAAAGCGTATAAACCCTCAATTATACACTATTTGTCCACTGTCTTATTGTTATTATCATTATGACTCGCATAGTTAAATGAAGTAACATTATTTGAAATTATCATGAGTGAAACATTGGCATATTGTTATCAAACCCCTAGCCTTTAAATGTATTTTAGGGTCAAAATTTATTTGCATCATTGCCTTGTTGCGTAAGGAATCTATTTACTCTTCCTTTGCTAAAATTGGTTTGATATCTACCCTAAAAAACCAATTTTCTATTGCTTTACATAATTAATGGGTTTCCATGTCTTATTTGCCAATTTTCCTCTTATTTCATTTTAACGGGAAAACTATCCCTAAGAGCTACGACGTTACTTCCCTCTCTGGTTCCCATAGCGTGTTTTAGTCTTAATCTAAAATAGAAGTGAATTCTTTTACTTTAGCATAGGTGCAGCCAAAGGCAACTACTACAATACTAGTAAAATAAAATGCCTGTTGCAGGAATCCGCACTTCAGGTACTCCGTCAAGCAAAATTGTGCTCTTGGGTGAGTCTACTGTTGGAAAGAGTTCAATCGCACTGCGCTTTGCACGAAATGAGTTTTTTCCTGATCAAGATTCTACCGTCGGTGCTTGCTATTTTTCCAGACACATTGAAGTGCCTTTACGGGAAACGGGACAGTTAAGGGGGGCAACCTCTACCACAGTTGCTAATACTCCTGAACATAGTCGCTTTCTCCATCTTCAAATGTGGGATACTGCAGGGCAGGAACGCTACCGATCCCTGGCCCCTATATACTACCGTGATTCATCGGGTGCACTAGTGGTCTACGATATCACCAGCAGTGACAGCTTTGCAAAGGCTCAGAGCTGGATCAAAGAGCTGCGCACCAGAGCTAGTCCTACGCTTCTTATTTTTTTGATTGGAAACAAAACGGATTTGGAGTCGATGCGGCAAGTACCTTACGAGGATGGGCGTTTGCTTGCTCTCAAAGAGGAAGTAACCGGCTTCTATGAAATTTCTGCGAAGGACAATACAAATGTTGAGCAGGTCTTCCAGGATTTGGCAGTGAAGCTGCTGGATAATGGGTTGACAAAAGGACAGAGAAACGTGAATAGTGGTACCAGTACATCAATTGGGGATCGGAAACTCACATTGGATCAACAGAATTCTCAACCCGCTACCTCAACTTGCTGTTTTAGATGAAAATGATTACTGCGAAGGAGAGGGGTGTGAGAGAGAAATAGAGGGTCTATCCTTGTATTATTGTGTTTACGTTATTTGTGGTGCAACGAATAGGACATTTTCATAGGCATGAATTGCTTATTTCAAGGTAGGAAAGCTTTCTCAAGAAATAAAATACGTCCAGTTAGACTTTACTGTCATTGTTACAGAAAGTTCCTTTTTTACATTGATGTTCGCTGTGCTTTATTCCAAGGCTTGTATGACATAGTATCATTCCTTTCCGTGCATTAGGGGGGTTCCAGGCAATAAAATTTACGCAAACATGTGTGCATGAGCTTCAAAAAAAATTGCTGAAATTCCAATATAATATCAATCATTATATCTTTAGTGCAATCAAATAATATATCTCTTCGTTGTCCTTCTAAAAGATTGCCTTAGGCGGAAGAGTTTGCTCATATTTCGTATTACTTTGATTTTTTTATTTTTATCTTTTTATTATTTCCTATCGTGTGTACGATGAAACCATTGAGAAAATTACACTTTCCCAAGTTTTATGTATATTTCTTCATTGATTTAGTTCGTATTTTTTTCCACTTAATGACTCTGAGGTGTGACAAAATGATAACACTTTCCTTGCAACTATTTTCTTGATTGTGTTAGGTCTTTGTTGTTTATTCACAAGGAACCAGAGGGGTTTTTTCTCTTCGCAAGCTTACAAAGATTTGAAGAAGATTTATTTTTATTTGTAGTCGAAAAGAGTGTCCAAATGGATCCAGTTAGCCAACAACCATCACCAAAAACATGTGATGATTTTGGTGCCATAACTACAGCGAATGACACGAATCAACATGTTTCTTTGTTCGGCACACATTTTCCTTCTGATAGAAATAGCGACATTTCTGTTCCCGGACAGAATTTTGGTCAAACTAAGGAGTCTTTCCTAGAAAGTCATGTAGGCGACGTCAGCGAAACTCAGGCAAGGGTTTCTGGGGCTTCTTTGAGTAGTGTTCACGCAACAGGTGTGGAAGAGAATCGCAATCGAATCGAGATCAGCGATGGCATAGTAGCCCTTTCATCACAGTCTAAACCTCATAGCGATTTGTTGCTTGCTTCGAAATCCCCAAAACCGACGGCAGGTCGTCCACCAAAGGCACCAGTACCATCCACTGCTTCCGGGGTGCTGATTTCAAACCCTTTCCCTACAGTCTCTAACAGCAGTCGCTTGCGTTGCTCATCTCCAACACCTACCACTGACTACGCTGATATCGAGCTCAAGCAGAATGAACTTCGTCATGCAGTTGAGTGTCGTATTAAATCATTGGAGCAGACTCTAGCTATCCGTGAGGAGGAACTGCTTCATTTATACTCACAGTTGCGTAAAATGGAGGAGGATTATCAGTTTAACTATAATCTTATCGTCGAACGAGATGAGGCCCTGGAGGAGAGCTCGCAGCAGCTGCAGCGCCTCTACCGAGAGTTGAAGCGGGTCACCGCTGAGGCAGATACGACGGAGCGGAAGCTGCATGTGGCGGAAAACGAAATATCTGAAATGAGGCAACGGGTACGGGATGTTGAGGCAGACCGGGAGGTCACTTTGCGGCGGGTTCAAAAAGAATATTTGATTAAGGAGCAACACGTTCACGAGGTCTTCAAAGAGAAGGAGGCGGCACTAGAAGAAGAGCGCCAGCGGGTTCACGAACACTTCATGCAACAAGCAAGGGAAATCGAGGAGAGCCGTCATAATATGGAGGGCTACACAGCAAGTGTTACCTCAGAGTGGGCGCAGCGTCACAAGCAGGCCATGGAGCGTCTCCAAGCAGAGCTAGAAAAGTCTCAGAAAAAGTTGCAGTCCGTCGTGGAGGAAAATGGTGTGTTGACAGACCGCGCCAGACGCGCGGAGGAGGAGGCTTTGCTTCTTCGGGAGCAGCTTGACCTCCAGCTGCAGCGCCATAACGCGTCCATGGACGAAGTCTTGCAGGAAAACTCTAGGCTGGAAAGTCAGTTGTCTCAGTCAAACCTGCTGCTAAACAAAGGCTTGGCTACAGCTGAGAACACCATTCGTGAGGAGGCACAAAAAAACAGTCGCCTGGAGCTAGAAAAGACTAATTTGCAAACAAAACTGACTGAGGCTCAAGAGCGCATTCAGCAGTTGCTTTCTCAAAGACAAGAGGAGGTTTCCCAGTATTTAGAGGAGCGTCACGGGCTTCAGTCGAACTACCAGAACGCGCAGAGGGAAATGGAGGTGGCCCAGGAAAGATGGCGTGAGGCGGAGCGGCGACTGCAGGCTATTCTGGCATCCCAAAAGGATGAACTGGATCGTTCCGTGCGAGAAAAGCAAGAATTTGAACGACTGCAACAATCCATGCAACAACAGTTGCGTGAGAAGGAGAGGGAGGTTGCAGAACAGGAACAAGAGCTGGCTCGACTAGCGGATCAGGTGGAGCGCTGGAAGGCCGCGGAATCTGCTACTGCAGCTAAAGATCGACAGGAAGTTGCAGAGCTCCAGGAAAAGTTGCTGAACCTGGAGCGAGCATTGCAGGCAGCCCGGGGTGAGTCAGAGGTCAGCAAACGCAACATATTGAACGTCCAAGAGCGTAGTCAGGAGGAGGTCGCACGATTAACACGGGAGTTGCACGCGAGCGAGGCGGCACGACATGCCCTTGAGGATCAGTTCCATCGTACTCAGGATCAAAATGCACAGGGGGTGCTCATCAATTCGCTGCGCTACGAAAAAGAGATGCTTGAAAAACGTATTTTAGATCTAGAGCGCACCAATTCTGAGATACGCGAGCAGGTAGCCAACTTTACCTTAGAGCTTCAGAATGACCCGGTCATGAAGTCAGCCAGGGAGATGCATCGCCGTGTAGACCAGCTACAGCAAGATTTGCTAGAGTCCCGTGATTCTAACCAGCGCCTGCAGGACGCACTCAAAGAAAAAGAAGAGGAGCTGGCTCGCTACCAAGTGGATATCTTGCGTGCTCAGATTTTACTGTCCAACGGAGCAAGCTCTCCAGATAACCCAGAGGTATTAGACAACGGCTTCTCAGGATCTTTGATGCAGCATCAGTGTGAATGGTCCAACCCCCACACGCGATTAGATAGCAAGGATCGTGGTCGTAGACATAACAGATCCACTCGACGCCACAAGGGCCACCTTGGCGCATCTTCAAGAAGTAAAAGTAGTGTCAGTAGTGCTAGCGACGCAATTCGGTCGAACGGATCATTGGAAAAGCAAAATTTGCGTTCTAAAGGAGAGCGAGGTTCCCCTAGAAGAAGTAGTAGGAGCAGAGGCAACACCCAACATGCTGTTGTTTCTTCATCGCCGGCTTTCTTGCCACTGGAGAATGCGATGAATCCCGATCGTTTAATATCTGGTGAAGTACTGCTTAAGGAAGCGGAGGTGTGGCGACATAAATACTACCAACTCGAGCAGCATCTGCGGAAGGTACTTCTTGATCGAGACCGCTTATCTCAGGAGCTTCAGCTTGCCAAACAGGATGTTTCAGCATTGTCTGCTGAGAAGCAATCCTTGCTTGATCTCAACTCCTTGCTCAAGGCTCAACTGAGGGAGGCATACCGGACTGCCTACGAAGTCAATACTGTTGCCAAGGGCACTTTGCCTTCACCAATTCATCCACAGCTTCAGCTAAGTTTGCCTGAGCAACAGGACACAATGGCATCGCCGCCGGGTCAGATTCCTGCAGCTGCTTCCGCACCGTTTCATAAGCAACGAGATAATAAGAAAAGTAGTGACTTTTTAGACGGGAATCGTGTCCAAACAACGAGCTCCAGAGAAGAAAATTCACGTTATGTGACCATAGAAAGTATAGCCACAGAGGCTAAAGGACACGGTAACAGTGCTGGTAGGATTCCCGAAAATCACTTTGATGAAGCAGTCATCGTTCCTGCTTCTTCACCCGCTGTTGGGGCACCTTCCGACCACCATCAACGGGAGCGCCTTAAAGTTCTTGAGGAAGAGATACGCTTTGTTAAGAATCAAATCGCTAACACTGTGCATCAAAATCAACAATCTCGACAGCAGTCCGCAACGACGCGTAATGCTCGCCGGGGCCATGGATCGGAGGAGGGTGCATCAGTGGTTCGCAAAGGCGGTCAGGCTGTGCGGCACTACGGACATCATTGAAGATAAAAGCCTTTATGATTAGAGGAAGGATGATGTTGCCTGCGTGAGAAGACAGAGACTGTGTGTGGAGGTGGGTAGTGCAGCCTTCCTTTGTGCAGGTTTGTAAATGAATGTTTTCCATTTTGCTTTATTTCTCTGCTATACATTGCTTTTCTTACATTGCATATAGAAAGCAAAATTTTATTAGAGGGGACTAAAAGTCTTTCCCAAGTCTTAGATTAGTCCACCCGAAGAAAAAGAGGTGTGCATGGTGGGTGAGGACACAATTTGCATAGAAAAATGTTGTGCCAAATTTTCCATATTATTTATCCTCGAAGTATGTGGTCATCTCCTCAATAGTTTCTGTGTATGCGTGAGTTTATGCTGATACCTATTTGGTTCTTTTTGATATTTTTTTCTAATTACTATAAAAGTATATTTCTTGAACACATATAGGTTTCGGAAATACCCCCTTCCAGAACTCGGGTGCATCGTAAAATTTTCACGTTTGCACTAACTAGGCTTGCTTTTCTTTAATCAAAAAATATTTCTGAGTACTTTTTAGCCTTTTTAGTGGGTTGGTTTGTCTAGTATCCTCGCTTTTTTTTGTGACTGGAAAGACCTATGGGAAATAAACATTCTCGATCTTCGTCAGAAGCTACTCAGCGGAATGGGCAACAATTGCCTCAGGGATTGAACCCCACAATCCAAAATGCCAGTGCTACGCAGCGCACCCCTGTTGAGCCGGTGGGCATGCCCCCTTACTTAGCATCTCAGTATAGCAATAACTCTCGTGTGAATCGAACTTCTACAGCTGGTTCTGGAGGCAACAACTCGAACACTCCTCAGGTTCAGCAGCAGCAGCAACAGCAGCAACAAGAACCACAACAAGCACAGATGCAATTACAGAACCCGCAGTTGTCTCAAACCAATAATAGAGGTGTTCAGGAAGGTCAGATGGTAAAGATGTTGGGCACAATCGAGGCATCTACAGTTACTTACAACCCCTCAACTCAGTTATTGACCTTCTACATCACCACTATTGCGCCCTCGCTGACTTACGAGATACACACTGGGGTCAAAGAATTTGTTAAAGGAGGGGATGTGTTTTACATGCCGAATAAGCCAAAAATGGAACCCACACGCATCTTAATCGAGGGCCCACATGAGAATCGCAAGATTGCCGTTAAGCTAGACATCAGTAAGTTAGAGGAGAAGGAAAAGGTCTTTAACAAGCATTACCCAAAGCAGATGCCCTGTGTGATTGTGCTGCGCTATCGAACAACTGAGTTTCGGAAGAAAGAAAACGCAGACAACAATATTATCTCCAATGAGAGTAATAACGATGATAAGGGCGATACTGAAGACGTTGAAGAAGTGGTTGTGGAGCATACTGAGCACACCGCAGTTGATCTGGCCGAGCGGCCAAAGAGGCGTGTTATTAGTCAAATAGTTACAACTGGCGGTAGCGCATATGTAGTAGAGAACCTTTACGGTGCTGGCCACGAGAATGCAACAGGTGTTAGTGAGGGCACAGAGCTGATGGTAGGCTCAACCATCGTACCACATGAGGGGGAAGAGGAGGAGGAAGGTCTCTGCGTTATTTGCTTAATGAACTCAAAGGACACAGCAGTGATGCCCTGCCGACATATGTGCATGTGCAAAGACTGCGGGGAGCAGCTTCTCAAGCACAAACCAGTCTGCCCGGTGTGTCGTGCTCCTATTTCGACCCTGCTGCATATGCCTTCCTTCACGAACGGCGGCTCCAAATAGGCAAGAAGAGGCAAAAGGGGACGCTTTCAGTTAAAATTGAGCGAGATGAGTAACTAAAAAACCAATACAATGTAGCATCTTTTTCCATTCTAAAGCAAATGTTTCTTTCATAAATCCAATCTGTTTGAGTGTGCTTCCCAAGACAGAACCGATATGCAGGAGGGGGAGGCCGAACGATGCGTGGAAATGATCAAAGTGGTTCCGACTGTCATGAAGTGGTGAAAGGCAATTGTACAAATTATTTAGTGTAAATGATTCTTTTTTTCGTTACATATTTCATCTTTGCTGAGCTACCATTTCCACTTTATTTCATTGATGCTTTTGATATATATATATATTCATTTATTTTACAAGATATTGAGATGGAATGATAATTTCAATAAAAATATTGCGTATCCTACAACCAGCAGCCAAGGAATTTTGTGAAAATATTGATTCCTTTTCAGTTCTTTTATCATGAAATACCTTCTCTGCACTTTTTTAGTTGGAAAGTTTCCAATTTTTGCATGCAATGTTTACCAATCGTTCATGGTTTAGGGGTTTCATTAGGAGTATAGTTTATTAAAAAATATGCGCTATCTTAGGTTTGTTAAACTTTTTGTAGTTATTCAATAGTAAAAGTTGTTTGAATAGCGTAAAAGGGGGGATGAGTGGTAGACTGCCGTAGCGCAGGAGTTAAAAAGTTTCTACAAACGGGCGTGATCTAGAGGTGAAAATAGAGGGGTTCTATTATTGTGGCTATGGGTATACTATGCGAGTGTCTTGTTATACACTGGCTTTTTTCAGCCTCTCATTTTTGAATTTCTTCGTATACATATTTGTTAGAATACGTATTGTTTGCTATCTTACTGCGCATGGCGATTTCTTCTATTTATGTTCCTCTATCCTTGGTCTACTTTTATCGTTGGAGACAATGATATCTCAGTTGCGCAACACTTTAACTATTCAATGAGAAGTAATCAGACATTAGGTATAGTAAATTTGACTGTTTTAGCTCTTTGAACATTTGTTCCCCCCCCCCCCCCCCCCCCCACAATGGCCTTTCTCCAAAAGGGTAGGATACATAGACACACATTTTAAGAAAATTTCCAATTGCGGTTCATTTGTATTATGCGTATAGAATAATCCTAAATTAATAGAAAGGTTGCCTGTGAAAAGCGTCGAGGGTAAAATTTATTGCATTTTTATCCAAGTTGAAGATAAGATTTAACCTGTAACACACACACAAAAAGAATCAAGGTAATTGATGGGTGAAGCTTATGCAGTCTTTGGATTAACCTTTTCCATACTTGGTATAATCCACTTAGCTCTCTTTGGATTTATGTTTGACCATAATGATATTTCTTTCGCATTAGTATCGTCTGAGTCGGGCTGGGATGCATCCGAAAAGGCAAAAGTATGCTACCGAGGTGCCATTATTTATACCTTTACTATGATACTTTCTTTAATACTAGTGTTGTATTTCAAGTACGCTAAACCAGCAAATAGACTAGTAAGAGAGACTGAGCTCGTCTGAGGGGTTCAAGGATCGCTGAATGTGCCTCAAAAATGCTAAAACGAACCTACAATCTGAATAGGTCCCCTTTAAGCTTCCTATTTAATGATTAGCCAAATAGAAAGGTTTGTCAATCTTTTTCTACTCTTGAGCGTTTTCCATTATTTTTTCGAGTGATTTTCTAACTTCCTGAGAGAGGTCTTAATTGCTTAAATTGATGTCCGTTGGGAAATAATGCCAGTAAGCGTGACAGTGAACTATTTCGAATGCATGTAAAGTGTGAAGGCGTTCAGTTTGAAGAGATATGTAGGTCTTCATTAAAGACTAGGTTGCTCAATTTTCAAAAAAAGCAAATTTTGTTTGATTCCCCCCTTCCCCTTTCGGGAAACAATATAATATACGCTAAAAGGGTATATTATTTCCATTTACAGGAAAGAAATGTTTAGTAGTGCGATTCCTTTTTAATACTTTTAGCTGGGTAGTGTTTTTTCTCTAGGAAGCTTGATTTCTTTTATCCAAGTTCCAACATCATATTTCAGCATAGTATTATCCACAACTGCTTAGCTTAGGAAAAGATAGTGTTTAAGGCTTAGTATTATTTTAGGACACTCTCGCAAATAGGTACTGTAGTCAATAGAAATTGGTTCGGAAGTGAAGTGACCTGAATTCAAGTGAAAGTAAATCTTCTGATGGAACAATTTGAACAACCCCTAGAGGGTATATTTCGTGATGGCATTCCAGCTCCGGTGCTCCGCGCGCTTGCGCCGCTATACCAGGCCTTACCCTCTCTCCAAGAAAAAGTGAGCAACGCCAGGGACTGCTATTACTGGCGTGCCAACCCCTTTCGCTGCGTTGATGAGGACGTCGACGTGGTGACGTCCTTCATGCAGGCCTCGGAGGCCTCCTTCCGGCTCTGCCCGCAGCAGTCCGCGACGCTGCTCAAGTGTCACATGACGGAGCCCGCCCGCGCCGTGTTTTTCTGTCGTGACGAGGAGTGGGAGTGGCGGACGTGCCTGATGGACCAGACCGGGCTGCGCTTCTGGCCCTACGCGAACGCCCCGATCGGGGCGCCGTGGTCGAATGGCGGCCAGACGGAGGATTTCCACTTAGAGGATCGGTTCTTTTACGAGAATTTTTCCTGGTGGAGACGGCGGGCGTCGATGATGGCGGTGCGGCAACGTGAGCTAGAGGTGCAGTCCCATCGGAAGAAATGGCAGGAGGAGCAGATAAAGGGGGGGCCTGACCTACAGCCCCCTCGACCCACCATAGCACCTGTTGGCTTTAACAACCGAGTTAGTTAGGCGAAGCAACCTCCTCCATCTCTTTTCCATCGCTTGTCTTCAATGAGGTGGTGGGAAGAGGTTGCGTGGGCCTTTTCTTATTGGCTACAAGCAATGAATATCGCTCTATTTATGGCTTGAGCTGTCTTCCTGATTGCGTAAAAAAAAGTAGAAAATAGCGACCTCATGAGACAAATAAAGGTACACTTTCAAATTGTTCTTCATGATCAGAGTTCAAATCGACGATAGGGAGTTACAATAATATCCGCTTAACCGGCAATGTAAGGGTTCGATGCTCTTATCTGCTCTTTCTCTCGTTGTGTTCTTCACAAAAATATGGTTTTCACAACCTCACGAAGGGAAGCAATAATATCGTAGAACCGTGGAGTTCTTCAAAGACAAAGGAGCTGATGCGATCAACCTTTAGGGATTTAATGAGGATTGTCTTCATCACTATTTTTATCTGAAAGCTATGATTCATATCAAACACATTTATCTCCGCATCTTGCATCAGTTACTCAACGCCTGATGCTGAGAATATATACAATAGGGAGAATAATTGTACATATATTACTTCTTATTGCAAATATGAAGGATTCGTCATTATCAGACACTTTTCTGAGCTTTACATCGATTTATTGCCCTCGTTCTACAGAGCCGTGTTATCTTTATCAGCACTGGTGCCTTAAATACTCGCTCCTGGACCCTCGTCCATGAACTTTTTACTCGATTCCCTGTTTTATCTTAGCACTAATGTAGACTACAGGCACTTTGATGCAATAGTTTTCTTCTTTTCTGCATCATTAGAAATTACTTGTGCAAAAGAATCTTCATTTACAATGGTAATATTAGCACTTTCCATTTCTTCTCATTTCTATTTGGACTGAAATGACTATACTGCATGCCAGGCAACTCTTTCGTAATCAAAGCAGCTATCCATTACCACCATAATCGCTTACATTGAAGGCGACACTATGATGTCAATCTTAGTATATGATAATACAGCTAAACATGTGGCTCATTTATGTGAATCTGGTGCTACCTCATCTCAGTTCAAAGCAAATAATGTCGAAACCCATCACAAAACTAATCCACATCGGGAAGATTGACTGCCTATTAAGCTAATTCCTTTTAATTTGTATCCAATTATATGCCCTGAGGTGACAACAACGATTATTTTAGAAGGATTTACTCCATCTGTCCCTTTTATGCTGATACGCTTTACCAAAGCAATTCGTCTCAATCAGTGAACGATGAGATGACGCAACTATCTTCAGTATGGATGACACATTGCAAATAAGGAAAATTTTAGCAGTTGTCTATGCCTTATGCGCTCAGAGTCATTAGTTGCACTGACTCAAGGCGTTCAGTATTGGACTTGGAGTACTTCCAAAGAAAATAAAAATGCATGATGGTTAAAGAGACAAAGTAGCAATCTTTTATCATTCAAAGATGAGGTAAGATCCCTTGATGGGAAAGAGAATTTTTTAACTATCTTTAGTTTGCTCTTCTTTCTGTTTGTCACCGCCACCATCACTCCACGGAACTGGACATTTTCATTCTTCGCATCCTCCTTTCAATGTGACTAGAGCTTGTCGAGAATTTTATGATGCCGCTGGAAAGTAACACATGCGCACATAAAAGTGACTCTTTTCTACCTCATCCTCGACTTGCCTTTGTTGAATGCTTGGAGAAGGCTGCACTTGGGGCGATGAGTAGAAAAGGTAATGTACAGGAGTATGTCCTGTACACGGCCCCAAAAAGAGGTATTAGAATCCTTTCTGTTTGGCAACAATATCAGCCTCTGTGTTCGACTTCATTAGGCCGAAGAAACACAAATCTCGACTGAATACATTCGATGAGACTATTGAGGATCAGGTGTTGAATCAACAATATTATCTTTTTGCATCATCTGTGCATGATGTTGGATGTTGCTGTTGAGAGTGGGGGTTTCAGGGGTCTAAAGGTGACCTTCTGACGGATAGGGATAGGGCTACATACATGGATTCTCTGTACAACAACGTCACCCTTATTGCTATTCGAGCTGATTCCTGGTAGTAGTGCAGATCCATTTGTTTTTTAAAAAAGTGGACAAGTACATCGATATTAAAAAGGAATGAAGGTATATGCGAAGGAGTAAAGAGTGTGCCTAGCAACACTTTTATTGGTAAAGCCGTTTGCCCTTATGCATCCTTTTATTCAGGAAGGTTGCCCTTGAAGAATTATTTGTTTCCCCAAGCTATTAAGGTATCATTGAAAAAAATAATTCTCACTTCAGTAATCCAATCCAACACTTCAATCTTCTGTACAGCAAAAAAAAACATCCCAGTAGTTTTAAACTGTCGAGCATACACTACCTGTTATGTGCAGAGGTGTGTCTGGACTCGTCTGTTGGAATTTCATCAGCGGCCTTTTGGTTATGATTGTTAGTTTATAAAGTCACACACGTAATGATTTTAGGATTCGACATTTTTGCTTCATCATGGGGTCTGTCAGAACGGTTTGAGGGAAGAAAGTAATTCCAATAGTGAACTCTTGGCCCAACCACATGTCTCTACTTTCATTTGTTTGACCTTTGCTTCAAGCAACCACTCAGTAAACTTCTCTCTCGCCCCATCTTCACAAATTTGTAAGTGTAGTGTTCGTATAGTTCCATAGCGCCGTCATGCATGAGTCGTTTGCAGGCTCGACCGCGAGACAGACTTCACGGGGCATTATTTTCCACTCATTCCGTTGGTTTGTTTCGCTTCGCCGCATGGTCATCCTTAAGGGGAAATTTCTGCAGTAGCAGAAGCTTGAGTTGTGTTTTGCCCTCAGTCATCTACAGGAATTTTAGCACGAGGAACGTAGTAGGACGGGGAGGGATTACGGAGGCAACGAGTTCTTCTTCATCATCCCTCAGTTTTTTTTCAACTAGGGTACGTGAGCTGCTCCTAAAATTTCCCAAGATTTCAAAAGCGAAGGGTTCTAGTACCTCCTTTCCCAACGACGGACGGGAGCCGCCACCGCAAATACTGATAAGAGAACGACAGGCTGCTGAGGAAGATTTGCTTATATGGTTAGCAACTATGTCCAATACGTCACCATCATCTGCATTGCATCCGTTACTTTGTTTGCGCGTGTTGGAGAGGCTAGGCTATGCGGTGTACCGCAGGCCTACTGCCGCAGAGGGTGATCCTTTCGATTTGCCTGATCCAACAGCGTCATCAGCGACGGGGAGCCTCAGTTGCTCATCTCGGCATTCACACTCATTTTCGTTTTCGGAGGATGCTATGCGTTCCGGGGGTTGGCTTTCCCGACACATGCGTCTATCTCTTGCAACCTCTTCTTTACAGCTCCGTAATATTGTCGAGAATGTTCTGGTTCCGTTGGAGGGTTTGATGGGGGATTCGTCGAGAAATTTGAAGTCCCATCCACAGGTCGCTCCTGTGATACACATAGCACTCGAGTGGTGGTGCACGCTACCTTACTCCTTGCGTCTACCAGCTGACCGGTGGATGCCGCGGTTGGCGAGCTTTTACAGTTTTCGAAATGCTAAGTTGGAACAATGGGACGGAGGCCAAGGAGGGGAATCACACGTAGACTTCATGGCTCCACCGATTTCCTTTTTAATGCCTTATTTCATGGAAAAGATGAGAAGAATTAACTCATACGAAGCTTTTTCTCCCCAAAACAACAGAAACAGTGGTGATGTCCCATCAAAAAAGGATTGCAAAAAGAACATTAGCCTAATGAATCCAATCTCTGAGGCACTAGTGCAGCTGTTCACTTTTTTTTTGTTGGCATCTCCTTCGATAAACTTCCAAGATGGTGTTAGACAACCTTCCACTCAAGGGGACAATGGAGTGGTCAATCAAAAGAATTTACCAATGCTTATGACGTATTCTAGGCAACATCAGGTGGATCAACCAATACTATCAAATCGGGAAGTCATTCCGTTTACATGCAGTATTTCTTGTGATGGGCGTAGCTTCACGTTACCACCAATTACGTTACGGGACCCGTTGCTTGCGAATGTTCTTTTCTGGCAAGGGACGTTGCCGCTCCTTGCATTGCCACTAGTAGCAGGTTCCTTGTACATGGCTGCCGTCTCGTTGGCTTCTCTTCGTGGATCGCAGCCTTCCAGGAAGGAGGTTAAGACTAATGAGACTGTTCCTTCCGAGGTAAAAGGTGAATTGCCGAGGGGGCAGAGGGGAGATGAGAGTGTGGATGAGAAAGATTCTTGTCCTAATCCACCTACATCTGGTGAACAACTCATTTACAACTGTTCGATAACCCTGCAAATCCCTATCCATGATGATGATACGTTTCGTAAACTCTTGTTGCGCTTATCTTCTTCCGTATCTGAGCCTGTCATTTGTGAGTTCTCCAATTCCATGTGCAGTAAGGAGAAACCTCGAGAGAATGCTTTTTTTGCTTATCAAGTCATGAGTTTAATCGAACCCATTGTTTCCCTTGGACATAAGGCTAAGGACCAGGAGCAGACCCACCCTACCAACAAAAATTTCCACAGCTTGGCTCCTAAAATCCCTATCCATGACTCTTTTTGCACTACTACTAACAAGTTCAGTGGTATGAACGGAACAGTTGAGGTCAGCATCGACACACCCCTCCGGTGGATCAACCCATTGCATGAATATCTAATTGCTACATATACAGAACGGGCAGCATGCTTAGCATCCCATTTTGACAAGATCAAACTTCAATCAGATACACAAAAACCGCAAAGAGCACTAAGCCTAAGTTTTACCGGTGTCGTGAATGTATTGGCCGCTGCGTTGGAGCGTTTTGAGCTGCTCCGAAAAGAAAGCTCTTGTGCAGCTGCGGCTCACCGGGGGTACAATTCCTATGACGGGAGCAACGCATCCCATACGGATGCTCACAGTGGTAGCAAAGCACAACTGGGGCACAAGGAATTTAAGCATCCCACGCGCGTTTCGTTCACTTTGCTTCCAGAAAAGCAACGGGTGCATGCCTTTAAGGAAGCCTGTGAGATGCTTCTGAATCACGCACGAAGGAGTCTCCATCATCAGCAACCACTGCGGCGACACTCCACTAGATGCGGTACAATACCAGACGCCGATGATTCAAACGAGGGAAAACAGAGCAGCGTAGTGCAGTGGTTTCCTGACGTTCCTGTCTCTCAGCAGGAGATGGTTCTCCGTCGAATGTGCGGCGCTTGTCGTGCGTTGGTGCGTGTGGTGATGGAAGAGAAACGGAGCAGTCTTGTTCTAGAAGGACCTGAGGGGGCCGCCGTTAATGCAGGCGGCGCTTCCTACTCGCTGCCGTCGGAACATAATTCCCCAAATGGTGTGCAATTTGTTGGCGATCGACCTCAGCAACATAGCAAGACATTTGCTGAGGTGCTGCGTAACACCGCATTTCGCATATTAGAGCCCTCCCTGTGGCGTTACTATACCGAGTGTAAAGAATGGGAGCCCCAGCAGTTAAGCATGGGCGATCTTCAAGCGATGCGTTGTGGCTGGTCTCCAGCTTCACAGACGCTTGGGGAAGTTACGAGCGCGCAGCGCGCTAGGGCTTTCATACCTTTGACTTTACAGTCATTGGCACCTGCAACTCACGCAGCGGATTTGGTGTATCTTTCCACAATTGTGAATATTGATGAATCATGGGAACCCCGGTTGGTGTCCTTCTGTGAGTCCATAGAGTCCGTGTACAGCAATATAGGCGGTGCTGCGGCTTGGAAGACTGCAGTGCACATCCTGCGCAATCCGCTGCAACAGCCTCTGCATGCCGTAGTCGAGGGCATTCGTCTTGTGTGTTTACATATCTTGCTCTTTCACAGTAGTGATGGGATCGGAAAAATACATTTCGGGAATTATGGGCCTGTGTTCGCTACGGGGAAGGGGAATGCGTGTCATGGTAAGAGCGTCAAGAAGCCACATGGTGGTGGTTGTGGTGACGAGCATGTCCTACTGGACGTCATACAGGGCTTTTTTTGTGTCTGGAAGCACTATAGTGATGCAGCTGGCGATGAAGACCCGATTTCAGCCGTTTCAGCACTTAGTTCCCCAACAGCTGTGGTTGAGAGCGCCTCCCGATCAAATGATACAGGACTTGGTTCAATGCCTGAGCGTCTTCTCTTGCTTGTTTATCTGACCTTGCAGCGCTACCTTTTGCACAATAGTGATGACGAGACGGCCTACTGCCGACAGTACGATCTCAACGTTGGCCATGATTCTATTCACACGGCGTTTCGTTCGCTAGGGGCGTTGTTTCCACTTCAGGATTGCGGCGCGACGTCAGAGCGGGCTATGACAGCGTCATCCGACGTAGCTAAGCCGGGCAGAGGGCCCGGCGGCATACGCGAAGCTGAAGCTGCACTGCACATAGCAAAGGCTCATTTCCCCCATGCGTTTCACGATTTTAGTTCTGAGAAGCTAGCGCGTTGGGAGCTGGCTGAGGAGTTACGGGAGTTTGTCGCTGCGACGTGCACTCTACGCCCCCTCCCTGATGTTGCAACGTGGCATTGGGTGGGGACGCCCGCCGCTGTGCGACGTGCCATGCGGACCCTGAAGCAATTGTCAGCGTCCGCCGAGCAAGCAGGGGCGACGTACTACTTCTTGCTTCCCTGGAGCGCGTGGGCTCTTAGTCACCATCCGCTACGGCTCTACGATGAAAGTGGGCAGTCCGCGGGGGCTGCGGAGGAGTTTGAGCAGGGGTTGCAGTCTTTCCTAGAGTCCCCGAGTGGTGTTCTAGAGCATGATATAGCGCGGGGTGAAGCATCTCCAGGGGCGAGGGTTGTGATGCGGTTCGTGAGTGCGATGGAGGAAATACAACACTTCGCGGTGCTCAGTGGGAGGGGAAAACGCGCGCAGTCTGTTATGTTTCTTGCGGATGACATCCAGGTAGTTAACGCAGAGGCTGCACTTGAGGAGGGCCTACAAGCTTGGAAACAATACCCTGCAGAGGCGCGTAGCGGGGTTGATTCGATGGCGAATCAGGACGAAGAAGGGGAATATGATGGCTTGGATTGATTTCTTAAGCTGTTGAGCAGCAAACAGGTGCACCATGCGGTGAGTCATATTGTGTGTTTATCTATATTGTGACTTCACGCCATTCACTTGCTGTAGTGACGGCACTCCAACAAATGATTCCCAATTGCACCGAATAACCCCCCTGCACGTGTATCGTTTGTGCATATTGATTTTTGCTTGGAATGAAGTACAAATCTGTTTTGGTTGTCTTTCGAGTGCCTGTAGAAGGGGTGTTTAGCAAGTAGGGTAGGAAAGTACTCGCTGGGGAGGGGGTGTGTCCCATGAACAGGCCACTTTGGATATGTGTATGTAACTATTATATATACACCAATCTCTTCAAGGCATTCTTTTTTTTATCATCGAATGAAGCGGATTAGTTTACTGCTGCTGAATTCTCATAGCAAAGATGGTAATCGCAAGAAGCATGGCGTCTCGTTGCCTAGCTTTCCCTCGGACACTCTGCCGAAAGTCTATCACGAGGCGGTCCGCGGCTCCATCCCGTCGGGCCAAGTGGATCAACGTCGTAGTGCGGCTGCTGGCTTAGGTGAGCCCTATACTTCGCCATCTTCGGCCGTGCTGGGGCTTGGTGGGGCGGTGTTGTACTCGGAGTGGAGCAACCCACGGGAGGTCACTAGCCACGTTGGCGAGCTGGGCGTGATGAGCCAGCGAGCTGCCCAGTTGCGCGAAAAGGAGCAACGGCTGGGGGATGCGGGTGCAGACGGGGAAAGGGAAGTGGTGTATGATGGCCACCCCATCGCAGACGTAAACGAAGGCACGCATAGTCATGGAGAGCATCATGACCACAGTGCTCGCCACACGCGCCATATTCGGGAATCGAGGACAGCTGTCTCTTCGACGGACAGTTTCCCCAGCGCACACGGTTCAACTTTCGCATCGTCTGACGAGATGCCCTTGGTTCAGAAACCGGATATAATTACCTCGCTGGAGCAGTTTCGAGCCCTCAAGCAGCAGTCTCGTCGCAAGGTGTCGCGAAGCGGGAGCGGTGCTGCAACAGGTGGAGCCGACGTTGCCGCAGGAGTCTCTCAAGCTACAGGTGCGAGGAAGGCGGGACCTCGATATAGTGGAGTGCAGCTGCAAATACTGAACTTGTATCGGCGCATGCTGAAGGAGGTGTTTCGCATGCGTGACGCTGAAACGCGATTTAACTTACAGAAGTACATTCGCAGCGAGTTTGACCAAAACGTGAATGTGCCGAGAAAGCACGTTGCGAAGATCGAGTGGTGTATCAATACCGGGAGGCGTAAGCTGGAGGAGTTGCAGCTTATGAATCCTAATACGAAATTTTGCATAAAACGATAGCATGGGATCCAAAGGTAGTGCTCATGGAGTTAGATTGGAGAGCGTATAGGTGATGGAGGAGGAAGTTGCAGCTTTTTTAGCCTTTTAGTATGAGTGAAGGATTATTCCTCGATCACATTTGCAATCGTTTCTGTTCGTAGACTTCTACTCCCCCCTTATTTACACGGCTTGCTTCCCTTTGAACGAGCATACACACACACACACATATATATATATATATATATATTAATGCATATATATACGTGTGTGTGAAGGGATTTTGATAATGCGTTACGAGTTCCCTTTGATATCGATTGCGCTTCTCTATATGGACAAGTTAGTTTTTGCTTCCCTTTCGCTTTTTCAGCAGTTCCATCCGTTTTCGTAGCAAGCACTGAACGGGACATAAGAAGCATCTTTTTGCATCATAAACGTACTTTGGGGTGGCGTTGGTGGAGGAAGGGATCAAGGGGCAGTGTGGGCGGGGATTAGGGTAGAAGGGTCTAGGGGAAGAATTGGGAAGAATACAGCACTGGGGCACCACTACCCCCTGTTTTTAATTTTATTGTGGAATTCACAAGGGTGAACGGAGGATTGGACGAGGAAAGAGCTGCTGACTAGGGAGCGTATACAATGCATTTTCGTAGATGTTGTACAGTATTTTTGCAGCGTTTGGTGCATAAACAGAAGTTGCCTGCTGTAGTGGTGCGTCCTGCGACACGATCATCATCCCTTCCGGCAGTTAAGCTTACCTTATCAGTAGCTTGGCTGAGGGTAGGGATGCAAGAGCTGCGTGCATTGTGGTGTTTCTGCAATACGCTGATTCAAGGGGCTGTGAATATATCGGCACACCTTGCTCTTGGGTTCAAGGGGTTCATAATGAATCACACAGCGTCTGAAGAATTCTGTCGATGCAGTCGCGATGCTTCTTATATTCACCCACTTTCTGCCCTTCGTTTCACCGCGAAAAGCGTGAACTCTCCGCGTTTCTTGTCTAGATCCCTTGTTCTGAGTGAAACCCTATCCATGTTAAAGAGCACTGCCTGCGATGTAATCCGTTCTCTTTTCTTTACTGTACTAGCTTCTGTATTCTCTCTTTTCGCTCCAACGCCACTCTTACGTGATGGTGAATTGTTTAGGACTACGAATTTATCAAACATTTGCTTAGGTAATCCTTGCAAGCGCGATTTTGATTTATTGAACGATAATTTTACTTTTCACTTGCCTGCCGTCCCTTCGTCGTCCATGTCCGCTGCTGACTGTAAGGGAGAGGAGGAGCTGCTCTGCGTGCTGCAGAGCCTGGGTTATGAACTCCCCACCATCGAGCATGAGGAGAAGAAAACCGTGGAGGCGGCGAACCTGGAGCTGCCACGTTTTGGTATTCCTTGCACTGGTACAAAAAACATGTTTCTAAAAGGTAAGAAAAATGAATTTGTACTGGTTACAGCATTACACAACACCACTACCAGTATCAAGCTCATACAGACGCTGACAGGGATAAGAGATCTGCGTTTCGCCCCTGCTAATGATTTGAAGGAGAATCTGTGCGTCGTGCAAGGCTGCGTGACACCATTTGCTCTTGTCAACAATTTGGAAAAGAAGAACATCATTGTGCTGCTGGACAAAAATATGATGGAAAGCAGCATACCCTTCGTATTGCACCCTTGTCGGAATGATAAAAGCAGCTTGGTAATGCCCTACCAGCTGGAAGCGTTCCTGAAGAAGATCGACTACCCTTTTAAGGTGGTCAGCTTCAGTGAGGACGATTCCCCTAAGGAGGCTAAACCGGCGGAGGTTGTCTCTCCTTCAAACGCCGTTGCTGTGCCTATTCCGCAGGCGCCTGTGGTGGGTGAGACGCGGCTTGGGATAAGCGCCGTTCGTGAGGAGAACTTCTCTGCGTGGTACACCGAGGTGATCAGCAAGGGTGAGATGATTGAGTACTACGATGTGTCCGGCTGCTACATCATGCGCCCGTGGTCCTATTTCATTTGGAAGTCGATTCAGCGTTTCTTCGACTCTCGGATTGAGGATATGGGTGTGGAGGACTGCTACTTTCCCATGTTCGTATCCAAATCTTGCCTGGAACGTGAAAAGGAACATATCGATGGGTTTGCACCGGAGGTGGCATGGGTAACAAAGGCAGGGGAGACGGAGCTGGAAATGCCCCTAGCCATTCGTCCAACTAGCGAGACGATCATGTACTCTCACTACGCTAAGTGGATCCGGAGCCACCGTGATTTGCCGCTACGTTTGAACATGTGGAACAATGTCATTCGCTGGGAGTTTTCCCACCCCACACCGTTCATTCGCACACGAGAGTTTCTATGGCAGGAGGGTCACTGTGCGTGGGCCACCGAGGAGGACTGCGCGCGCGAAGTGTGGGAGATATTGGACCACTATGAATCCGTGTACAGAGACCTCCTGGCAGTGCCCGTCATTAAGGGAAAGAAAACTGATAAAGAAAAATTCGCTGGTGCCTACTACACCACAACTGTGGAGACCTTCATTGAGGGCGTTGGCCGCGGCTGTCAGGGTGCAACAAGCCACCACTTGGGTCAGAACTTCGGCAAGATCTTCGATATCCGTTTCCAGAACCCCGAAAATCCCGAAGGGGAACCGTTGGTTCCTTTTCAGAACAGCTGGGGGTTCACCACACGTTCAATCGGTGTCATGGTGATGGTGCATTCTGACAACCGTGGCCTAGTTTTGCCACCGCGTGTGGCCTCATTACAGGTGGTCATCATCCCAGTTGGCATTACCAAAGGCACTACAAAGGAGGAGAAGCAACAGCTTCTGGAGGGCTGCAAGAGGTTGGAGGAGCAGCTCAGACGGTCCTCTATTCGGGCTAAGGCGGATTTGCGTGACAATTACAGCCCTGGCTGGAGGTTTAACCATTGGGAGTTAAAGGGTGTCCCCGTGCGCGTCGAGTTCGGACCGAAGGAGTTGGCGAGCAATGAACTTTCACTTGTGATACGCTTCAATGGTGAGAGGCGCAAGATGGTCTGGGACGATGGGGTGGTCTCGAAGATGATGGAACTGATGGATGACATCCACAACACCATGCTCGCGAATGCCATTCGGATTCGTGATGAACACCTAATTAAGATCACCGAGTGGAGCGAGTTCGTGCCGATCCTCAACAAGAAGTGCATCATTCTAGCCCCATGGTGTGGCTCTGGGGCCTGCGAAGATAAGGTGAAAAAAGACAGTGCCGAGGAGTCCAAGAGGCTGTTGGCACAGGAAGAGGTTCGCGAGGATGCCCGGGCTCCCAGTATGGGGGCAAAGGCTCTTTGCATTCCGTGTGAGCAACCCAGCTCTGTGGAGAAATTCAAGTGCATATGCCAAGGATGTGAGGAAACTGCGACGAAATGGGTGTTGTTCGGCCGCAGCTACTAGGTAAAAATCAATATCTTTGTTAATAAACAATACGGGGTAATCTTACTCCTCTAAAGTATGGGAATAACACAAACAGTATAGATATCGATAGTTAATCGTAATATATTGTTGTAAA